ATTTTTTATATATATCAGTATTTACCATATTAAAATTATAGCTGAAGAATTTTAGAGTCTTTATTCATCTAAAATTAAATAATGATTAACCTATTATATGCTTGGATAAATAACATTTTTTAATGAAAAATAACGGTTTCTTCCAAAACAAAAAATAGTGGGAATAATGTTATTGATTTACTTTTTTAGTGTGAATGTCTTTTGTGTCTGGCATAAGAGAGAACAGCTGGAGTCTTATATGTGCTTCTTCATTAAATCTTTTGCAACATCCCATTTCAGATAGCATTTGTAACACTCCATTGTGTACTCATAAGAGAATGATTCTGAAAAAGGCAAATAACATCTTGGTATTATTAGGAAGATAGTTGTGACCTTGGTGATCCCCCGAAAAGGTCTTGAAGTCCTCCACAGGTCCCCAGACCACACTTTAAGATCACTTCTCTTGGGCAAGATTAGCCTCAAGTATGCTAAGGCTTGATCCTTCTGGGATCTCAAATGAATGTGCTAGATATTTGAGGAAGTATTTGTACTCTGCACTTTGGTTGTTGGGAACTCTAGTGATTCCCTACCCTTTGTGACCTCTGGGAATTGTTTAGCTTACTGCTTCCCAGTAATTGTTCCTTTCCCAGCAACTGCTGTTCTTTGCTTGTCTTTGTAGAGTTTCACCCTGTGCATGTACAGGACACTGTGCAGACTTTTGGAGTTTTTCCGTGGGATAGGTCCTTCCTCAACTTAGTGAGACTGAAAGATTCTCTTAGGCTGTGCCCTCCCTGCATTGCAGTCGAGATTGCCTTCAGTCAGAAAGTGCAGTTGTTCATTCATATCCATTCTCACAGGATTCTTAGTGGTGCCTGCTGATTGTTGTTTCATATGCATTGTCAGCATTTAGTTGTTTATGGTGGGGGGAGGGGCAAGTCCTGTAGCAGTTATTTCTTAGTGTGCAGACATCTCTGATTGTTTGGGTTTTGTTTTTAATCATATCTGTTGAAACAATTACACTGAGGTCTTATATGTCCTATTAAAACATGATATTTGTTGTCTTAGCCTTCAGTAAAAACTTTCATTTTAGTATTCTGTTCATGTTGATGAAAAATAACTTTTACACAAAGGGGACATTTTCCACCATTGTATGAGGAACAGAGAAGAATGTAGTCATTTATTATATATGTAAACCATTTGTTTGCCTTTTGTTTTAGGCAAGTATGTGGGCTCTTTATGTCTCAGCCTCTTAGTAATAATGTATCTATCTAGCATGTTAACAGGAAATGATGAACAGAATATTATAACTACTTTGTTTTTTAGTTTTAAGTCTTGGACCTCAGGAGTTAGTAGGTACTCTTACATACGGTAGTCATAGAGACATAGATTCAAATTCTGGCTCTGTGCTCTACTGGATATGTAAATGAGACTGGTTGCTTACCCTGAATCTGAGCCCCTGTTTCCTTATCTGTAATATGGGCATGATAATGCTATATTAAATAGGAATGAGAACTTCTGGTAACAGAGCTGCTGCTGCTGCTGATTTTTGTGTGTGTGTGTGGTAATAGAGTGTCTAATAACAGTGCTTTAACCAAGGTGGAAATTTATTTTCTTTTTCTGTTCATATGAGAAGAACCTGGCAATTCAGGATTGGTATGACAGCCCCACAGTGTATGTATTGTGAACCTAGATTCCTTCTCTTTCCATTCTACCATTCTTAGCTCAGGAGTTATATCCTCAAGGTCACCTCCTAAGTCAAGGTACCTACTGGAATTCTACCTCTCATGTTCATATCCCAAGCAGCAGGAAGGAGTAGGTGAGGGAAGGTAAAAGGGGTATATCTTCCTTTAAAGAAATGTTACAAAATATGGTCATTTTATTCAAATCTTACTGGCCATAACTTAGTCATGTGGTTTTATCAGGCTTTAAGGGAAGCTAGGGAATATAGTCTTTTAGCAGGATATTATGAAGAAGGAAGGGAAAGGGACTGTTAGGTTGGCATCCAGGAGCATCTGTCACTATTGTCTTCTCTTGAAATTTCATGGGTTCCCAGTGAGTTGAGAAATTATCCAGGAGTCAGCAGGTGGAGACCAAAATATTACCCTTGTAAAACTGACAAAGCTGATTCTTGAGAAAGGGGCTTACATCTGTAGTTAAGTATGTTTCCTAATATTGAACCCTAGCATTAAACAGACTTGTCCATCCAGTCCATGAAAGTGCTAGGCCAGGTAGAGCCTGTCCCTGTTAAATTTGTGGCATGAAGGAACAAAGTCAATGTGTGTGTCCTGTCAACAGCTCTTTCTCAGCAGAAAGGGAGGGGGGGTGAGGACTAGAGAGGCTGGGAGTGTTACTTATGTCGTCAGAAATGGGGAAGTGTTACCCTTTCCCTTCTCCCTTCCTACGATACTTTATCCTAAGAGTTTAGCATGATGTTTGGCATTGAGTAAGCATTCAGTATATGGTGCTTATTATTATAATGATGATTTGAGCAATTTGAGTAGCCACCATGATGTCTCAGAATCTATGCATTTAATCTTCCCACATATGTTGCTGTTTGACGTGTAACGTGGTTTCTATGTAACATTTTTTTTTTTTACTTCACCATGAGATAAAATTGGTAAATAGTTTTAAAAGGCTGTATAGGTACCTTTTAGAGTTTTTAAACTTTTGGTGAGGTCACAGTTTCATTTGCAAATGTAATGAAATTATGTAGATAGCATAAATTATACATATGCTTTCTGGGAATACATGGATCTTAATTTATGGCAGATAAAATTTAATGAAGTACAAATACCTCCATATTACTGTAAACTGGTATCAATGACTGTTGAATAAGTACAATTAATTAACAGGAAGTTGAGAGTGGTTAAGATCATGTGAGGCAGATGGACAGACACGTTTCAACTCCAACTGTGCCCACCTACTAGTTATTATTAACCCGGGTGTTACTGTTTTTCTTGTTTTAAATCAGTAAAATGAAGGTGATAGTAGCTTCTATATCCAAGGGAGAGGAGTAAATGAAATAATACATACAAAGCCTTACTTCTGGGCCAGAGTATCTACTTGCTCTTTTTTACTGTTGCTGTTGTTTTTATAGTCATTATTATTGTTACCCTTCTTTGCCTTTCTGACCTCACTCTGATTATCTTGCAGGTTTCAGTGACTAAGTTATCTTGAATTTCATAACTCGGAGATAAAATTATTCTGAGCAAACAGCTTGGTCCTTTAGATCTGTTTTTGTTTAAAAAAGAAAAGCAAAAGTCCTCAAGAGTAATCTTCATGATCTTTGATCTCTCCATAATAAGAAAGAACTTTCACACCCTGCTTCTGGCTCATCAGGGAAACGATCTTTTGTGTGCCCTTCAAAATTTCCCCTTCTTCCCTTGCTTCTTCTCATGTCTCCTTCCTGGCCTACCAGAAAGAGAAAGATGTCAGTTTGATACCTCTGGCCTCTTCTGAAAACCTGGTAAGGGTATTTATCCTGTCAGCAGTTCCTGGGTATTTAGTGTTTTACATCTTGATCTGTCTTTATTATTTGAGGAAAAGTCCTTAACTTTCCCCATTCCTTTCTGATGAATAGCTTGGGCTATAGAAGTTTGGTCCCCTCACTAAGAGCTACAGATCCCCTGCTGTTTTTATAGGTTGACTTTTGACACAGACTACTTCTGTTCAAGGAGCTCATTGTTATTAAGTTAGTGCCAGTTTATACCAGAACTTAACTTTTAAAGCACATTTAAATAGACTTCTTAATGGTTTCTTTTGGTTGATGTTTAAAATTGTCTAGTGGTTTTTTTTTCCCTAATGACCCAAATAGCACATGCTCAATGTAAGAAAGTATTCAGAAAATATATAAATCATGAAGGAAGCTCTCCCATAGTTCTACTCCACCAAACTAGTCACTTCTACTTTTTTTATATGATTCTATCTATATGTATATATATAAATATATGTAACATATATACCTATACATACATATAGGTTTATATGCCTTTAAATGTTTTTTGTTTTCCCCAAAATGCGATCCTTCTGTATGTATACTGTTTTGTATTCTGCTTTTTTCCCTATGTATGTGTGTGATTGTTTTAAATAGTTGTATAGGATTTCATAGAATAGATATAATTTACTTAGCTGATTCCCTATTGAGATGGATATTTAGGTTGTTTATGATTTTTTAGTAATTTAACCGAGGATGGTAAACATTTTTCTGCATCCATTTTTGAGTAGTTGTGTTTTGTTTTTTTTTTTTTTTAGTGCATTCTTAGAAGTTTAATTCATGTGTCAAAGGCTGTGTACCTACTAACTGGTTATGAAAGTAACTTTTTCTAATCAAATTTGGGTATTATCAGTCATTTTTAATATTTTTCAGTGTGATAACAAAACTAATGTCTGAGTGTTTTAATTTCTATTTCTTTGATTTTAGAGATTAAACATATTTTCGTGATTTTTGGCCACTTGCATTTTCCTGAGATTAATTTTGTGTTATGTAGTCTTGCTAATCTTCCTAAAATATGTATATTTTAAAAACGGCAGAATTTTATTTCTTGTTTTAAGAGATTATATTTTAAAATTATAGTATTTGCTATAAATATACTTATATATTATAAAATTATATTACAAATGATTTTGTTTTTGCTGGACTTAATTTCTTACTTAGCTAGTTATTTTCAAGTATTGACATAGGAAATTAAATAATTAACTAGTAAAGAAAACCAAGCTTGTTAGAATAATTTATTTGTCTAAAATACAAATGAATTGGACTGAAATTATTAATGCTTATTTGCACTTTAAGGTACCTATTTTGGTTTAACTTTTTAATTTGCTCACATCTGGTTCTTGACCATGTTCTAGATAAGAGATGCCTATATAAATGTGTATTTGTATTTTTACTTGTTTACTTGTTAAAATGAAAGGAATTGGAAATTGTTGATTGAAGTACTCATTTTACCAAACTGTGATCAGAAGATGCTTGGATATAATCCTTCCACATGATAAAGAACATGTTTTTATTTTATTGCTTTTAGAAGAAAAACAACAGTGAAGACATTATGTATTTATGCAGACTACAAATCTGATGAAAGCTATACTCCAAGCAAAATTTCAGTCAGAGTAGGAAATAATTTTCACAATCTTCAAGAAATTCGGGTATGTCTTTCACATTTTAAAAAATATGTTATCCTGTTACTCTTGCCCTTTAGAAAATAGTGACATTTGTAGACAGATTAAAATGTTAATACATAAAAGGAAAATTACTTTTTAAGAAAACACTTTTAATTTTTTATATTTAAAAATTTTTTTGAATTCTGATTGTCATCTTAGTTTTTTTCCAGTGTTTTATTATGGAAATTTTCAGACATACAGAAAAGCTGAATTGTATAGTGAGCCCCAGTATACTCACCTCCTAGATTCTATAGTTATTAATGTTTTGCTATATTTGATTTATTATTATCTGTCCATCAATTCATCTAATTTTTATACTCATTTCAAAATAACTTGCAGATATTTGTATCTACCATCCCAAATACTTCAGCATAATATATGATAACTAGAGTTATGAATATTTGTTTCAGGTTTATTTTTTAAGGTATAATTTATATGCAGTTTCCACAAATCTTAAATATATTATTTGTGAATTTTCACAAATGCAAACATGTGTAACCCTGACTCCTATTAACATATAGAACATTTTCATTACCCCATAAAATTCCATTATATCCCTTCCCAATCAATCTCCATGTCTATCCTACTCTCAGAGGTGTTGTTCTAATTTTGTTTGCTTATTCATTCATCCATCTATTCATTCATTCATTCATTATATAGATCAGTTTTGCCTGTTCTAGCATGTCATATAAAGGAATCACAGATGGTGTAACTTGTTGTAAGGCTTCTTCCATTCAGCCTAATTTTTTGACAATCCATCCCTGTTGTTGCATGTAGCAGTACTTCATTTTTTTATATTCCTGAGTTACACTCCATTGTTTGAATATTTTATTTATCTGCTGTATAACTTTTTGAAGCTATTAGGATAATGCTTTTGTGACCTGAATGTTATTAGTCCCCAAATATTTACATTTCAGAGATATTTTCAATAAGTTTGAACTTTGTACTTGTAAAGTTCTGGCCCTTCACATTTTTTCTTGTCAGAAAGTCATTGAGCTCAAGTAATCATTAAAATCTTTTAAATTAGGTGATTCTGAGAGATCTGAGAAGCACCTGTGATTTTTGAAAGACTTCCAGCCAATTTGTGGCCTGGACTCTTATTTGACTTAGTGTTTATAAGACCCTGTCCCTACATTTATATTTCTTCCCTGAGTTAGTAATAAAATACTTAGTAAGAATCACATATACGTTCATTGTTTACTCATTAAATGCAGTGTTGTTTCCTTGTGAAATTTGTTTGTGTTGACAAATAAGTAAGGACATTGTCGCCCACAGATATTTTGTTTTTTTGTTTTGTTTTTTCATCCTTTGAGGTAAGTTTGCAACTTTTTTGAGATGACCACCTGGTCTTATTCTAGTTATCTTCCTTTAATTTTCAGGGATGATCCTATACATTTTCTTGACTACTAATTTGTCTTTGAAAAATCATGCTAAGATATTCTTCTTTTAGTTTAAAAATATTTATTTTGTGTGGCCATACTGGTTAATATGTACTTTCCATGCTTGAATAAATTCATAAATAGATTAGTTCTTCATTTTCTTTGTAAGTTTCTTCATTTAACCCAGTGCTTTTTTCATTCAGAATATTTTAGATTCTTTTTATTATAATTACATTGAGCCTTTTGCTAGCTCTTTTAGTCATATGATACATTTAATCAGTGTTTAGCGCTTTAAGGACTTGAGATATACTTTGTTAAACATTTTGTATTTATCACATGATTGGGTTACTCATAGTGAGCAGCCTTTTGGGAGCAGAGCTGGCTTGTTTTGGTTTAAAATTAAAGGTTTATCTTATAATCCCTCAGGCAGGTTGAATTATATGTGACACTGAAAGTTTTGATCCAAGATGTGTGTGGCATATGTTCGAAATGTCCACTAGATGTCACTGTTGTCCTTTAATTGCTAGTCTCATAATCTAGTTAATAAGACCTTAAGTAGTTAGTCTTCGTTGTAACTCGTTTTTCTCAGAGTATATATATTCAAATATTCTTTGATGCATTTTGGGAAATGTACATATTCATACGTGATTTCTAGGTTTATGTACTAAATATATATTTTGTATTCTTTTGTAAATTGGACAAAGTTGAAATGATATTTGGACCATTTCAGAATACTTTTAATCTAGTTTTTGCTTCTATTATATCATTTAAGTACTGAAACATTAGCCACATAGAATAAGGGCTCTTTTAGGTAGTCTCTTAATTTTATTCCAAGTATGTTTATATTTCTGTGTAGTGACCACATAGCCTCATGAGACCAGTAATACTAAATATTACCAGGTGATAATGTAAGTTGTTTTCCTGAAAAACTTAATGAACATACTGCTTTTCTGCCACAGTTCTCACTAAGGAACCATAATTTTTGGATTTTGTTTTAAAATATTAGTGCCGCCTTTGCAGCTCAGGTTATAAAGTATACTTTATCTTTTAATTATACATCTTTCTATGTGATTTATTCTGTTTACCTTTTTTCTAAGTTAAAGAAATAATCTGATATTTTGTTTTTTAAGGGAAGATAAGCAGATCATGCTTTTATTTTCTTACATTACTCCTGTATAGGGATATAAATTGTTATTTTTTAAAAATCTTCTAACTCAGATACTAAGACAAATGATTAAAATAGTGTTAACTTTTATGAGGTTTTTAGAGCCATCGTTTCATTAGTTATAGGACTGATTTAACTGAATGGAAAATCCAACTAAATCTTTTTATATTTTTCCATGGAGGGTTGCCCACGGGAGGGTGTAGTGTGTATTGGAGTGTTTAATGGGTTTTCCTTTTTTACTAGAAATTATGGATTTGTTTACTTGAAACACTCTAAAAACCTATTTTCTGTCATTTTATTATTGATTTGAGTTGGTAACTTTACAAAAATTTAGTTCAGGACAAGAAAAGCTAATGGCTACCCCCTATCTATCAAAAAATTATTCTTTTTCTATCATATGTTTTCCTTCATTTCAGTTATAAAACACACTATTCTATCTTGATCTTTGTAATCTCTGTTGAAAAATCTCTAAGAAGAGATCAGTCCTTCCCTTTACTCTTCTAGAATGCATATTTCAATCTCTATACCTGAGGAGGGACTTATAATGGAAATAAAGTTTAGACTCTCTGCTTATATTATACTTACAAGATACTCAAACTAGGTTTCATCAAATAGAATGCCTTTGATGCCAAAACTTCTCTTGAATAACGTCCTTGATAACATGATGAATTCATTTATGCCACTCATTCTACTTTTTTGTTTTTAAAATTGTCCATCCTATAGATACTGGGAACCAACAACCTAAGAACATTTCATGAGATGCTTGTGATTTATTGCTTCTACACAAACTACTTTTTTTTAAATTTTTTTTTTTTTACACAAACTACTTCTATGTAGAAGTGAGAACTTAGCATTTCAGATTCTTTATGGCTTTATCTACTCAAAACACTTCATCTCAGTTGTGTTACTTTTGTGCAGGAAGTCATGTTCATCATATTATTGAGGAAGTTATTCAGCAGAAGTTTTCAAATAAAGATAAATGCTTTTAAAATTTTTATTTATCTATCTACCTATTTAGTTAGGTTTATTTTTTTCAAGTAGGTTCCATGCCCAGTGTGGGGCTTGAACTCACGACCTGGAGATTGAGAGTCCCAAGCTATGTGGACTGAGTCAGGCCCCTGGCTTTTAAAATTTTTAAATCATTTGCCTTTAGCATTATGTTTTGGTTTAATGCTGTTTTTTTTCCCTTTGCCCTCAGAAGGAAAAATATGTGCGAAGGAAATGTTTTGTCATTTAGCGTGAGAAACCAAAGAATAGTCTATCTTAGATGTAACCATTTTAACATCGTAGAAAACATCTCCAGCTAAAATTCAAGAAAACTTAAAGTCCTTTTCAGTTTGCCAACTAGTTATTTACCTCTTTAAAAACGATTATAGAAATTTTTGTACTTAAATATGAAACTAAAGTGATTTATTAGACGAAGAATGACAGCTCTCAAAATTATTTCTATACAATTCTGTAAAAAACAACTTGTTAACTGAAGGTTAAGTAGATATTTTCAGCATATGTGAAAGTTGTCCTTTGATTCATTGTTAGCATTTTGCTTCGAAAATTTGTGACCGCAAAAGGATAGAATATTAATGGAGCACAAGATTGTGCACTTAAGTGAATTTTAAGCTTTGTTTTTGTCTTCAGATAATAAAGCTGTTACCAAAAGATTTTTTTTTTTTTAAGAGGAAGCTTGAAACAAGTCTTCAGTGTTAAGAGAGTTGTAATGATATTTTTCTTTTCTTCCATGTGGGCGAGCCTTTTGGCTCTCTTCCTTGTGTCTTGAATCAGTAGCATGGCTATGGGAGTCCATATTTGGTACTTTGACAAAAGTGGTTAAAAAGTCAGCCCTTCTGTTAGCATAACATTTACTATTATAATTTGAGTTCTGTTAATGTGTGTGGTAGAGTAAGAAGATGCAGACAAAGTCTCTAACTCTATCCAGCGATCTTAAAATCTACTTATATTTACTTTCTGATGAGGGGTCTGTTTTAAACAACTTGATATAAAGTGGAATGATTTAGGCGGTACCTATAAACATAAATTGGTTTGATAGGACAGTGTTTAATTTATTGAGCCTTTGGAAAAAAATAGTTTTTGCTGAATTTAGCTAGTTTAAAAGAAAATGTTTTTAAAAATTAGTTTTTATAACTGACCCTGGGACATCTTTGAAATGAGTGTGGAATATTTTGTTGTGATACACATAATTTTTAGGCCAGAAATGTTATCCTCTCTTATCCCTCTCAAAAAGTAACATATGCAATTTTTAAAAAGTTATTCATGATTATATACATTACTTATTTCCAAAATGGAGTTGAGATGACTATACATTTGGGGTTATTTCCTTTTGAATCTAAAATGTTACATAGTGGAATATTATGTATATATTTTTAAAGATCTTATTTATTTTGAGAGAGAGAGAAAGCAGGGGAGGGACAGAGGCAGCGGGAGAG